TTCAGATCGCTTTGTAAAACTATAAGGGAAATTTTGCAAATCTTCAGGGAAATTCTCAAAACTTCAGACAAGTCCAAGAATCTACAGTGAAATTTATTTAAAGAATTTCACAGAAGTTCCAAGATCTACTGAACAATTATTGAACATCAGAAAAGTTCGTAGATCTTCAGAACAAAGCTACAGAACTTTTAAAAAAGTTAACAGAACTTCTGAAAAGAATGGTCATAGATCTTCAAATAAATTTGAAGAGCTTCAAGAAAGTGTGCAGATATTCTGGTACATTTTTGAAATCTCAGAAATTTTAATAGATCTTCAGTGAAATTTGCAGAACATCAGGGAAGTTTGGCGATTTAAAAAAGAAATTGATACGATTTCAGGGAAATTTGTGAATCTTGAGAGAAACATTTAAAACTTCAAGACAGCTCAAGTATTTTCAGATAAATTTTGAGAACTTTAGGTAATTTAGAAGATTTTCAGGGAAATTTTTAGATCTTCATGGTAGCCTGAGAGCCTACAGAGGAATTTACAAAACTGCAGAGAAGTTTGCAGATCTACTGATAAATTTATTGAGCCTCAAGGTAATTCGTAGATCTAGAGAATAGAACCATAGACTAGGAAGGTCCCGAAGAAACGTGCTCAACTTTTTGGCTCAGCTCTGGTACTCTCTTCGGTCCCAAGCCAATCGATGCACCCCTCAAAACATAGGAAAATCCCGAGGGGGGCGACACATCTAAATCTCAATTCTAGATGCTCAACAAATCTCACACTAGCGAATCAATCTTCGAAAAATCATCTTTCATTTCTCGCATCAACTTGCATAGCGCTTCATCTTTTTGCAGGAAATCTTCAAAATCGACATAAATCTTCCTTCTATCTACTCAGCGTGCGTGCAGCTAGCCACAGCAAAACACAATCTTTTCTGCATCGTAGATAGAGTCGTTCCCCTCGGAAAATCCACGAACCCCTCATTTTATCTGTCACACTTTCATAGCGAATCAAAACAAACATAGCGTATTACTAGAATTTCGACTAGAATGGGGTACTTTAATCGATTTGCTTGGGACCAATAGGCTAGTCAAGAAGTGAGCCAATTTAAAATCGTTAGTTTCCACCGGTTGATAGAACTGCGGAGCTTCAAACAACTTTACAGAACTTTAAAGATATTTGCAGAACTTCAGAAGAGTATCGTCGGAACTGCAAGGAATTTTGCAGATCTTCAAGACATTCACAGTTTCAGAAAAATGTGAGATTTTCAGAAAAATTCGTGATTTTTTTGAAAAGTACTTCAATTCCAAATACAGTAAAAAGTAAAAAAGTCCAAGATTTTGTAGAACTCCATGGAAGTTGTAAATAGTTAGATCTGAAGGACTTCAGAGAAGTCCATAGACCTTAAGAGAAGTATGTAGAACTTCAGGAAGTTCGAACATTTTTAGAAAAAATTGCAAAACTTCAGCAACTTCACAGAACTTTGGGAAAGTTCGCCGATCTTAAGAAGTGTTTACACAACTTCAGAGAAATTCGTAAATCTTCAGAGAAATTTATAAAATTTCAGCGAAGTTCAAATATTTTCAGATAATTTGTAAATCTTAGGGGAATTTCAAAGAATTGCAGATTAATCTGCAGAACTTAAGAGAAGTTCGGAGATCTACTGAGCAATTTATTGAGCTTCAAGGCAGTTCGTAGATCTTCAGAGCAGAAATTCAGTACTTCAGAAAACATTACAGAATTTTAAAGAAATTTTTAGGAACTTAAGAAATGTTCAGCGGATAGATCGTAAATCTACTGAAAAATCTGCAGTTTTAAATAAATTTTCGAAATGTTATTGAGTTTCTTGGATTTTAAGAGAAATTTACAGAACTTCAGGGAAGTTTGCTGATCTTTAGAGATGTTTGCACAACTTCAGAAAAATAAGTAGATCTTCAGAGAACTTCCGGGAAGCTCACAAATTTCTAGACAAGTTTTTAATACTTAAGGGAATTGTTTTGATGTTCAGAGATATTTGCAGATATTTATTGAATCATGAAAATCTAGGTACAGACAAAATTACAGATCTTTCGAGAAGTTCGTATATTATTAGAAATTTAGTGGACATCAGAGATAATTGTTGATCTTTAATGATCTCAAATCTGCAGGGATTCAGGAACTTTGTAGATCTTTAAAGAAATTGCTGAACTTCTGAAGAACACACAGAACTTAAAAATCTACAAGGGACCACCCTATGGGGTTGTACGCAATGGTGACGTAGGACTACGTAGTCTTATATAAAAAATCTTATTTGTTAACTGCAACAGGAGCTTGTGTTTTGTGTAGAAATAGGAATTTGAGCGGGTTTCTCTCTGTTTATACTCTTTAGTATGACGCGCTTGACATAGCTGACCCACAGCGACTCACGAAGAGCTACTGATTCCGATCAATAGCGGTGCGGCTTCTCCCTCCCTTTATGGATGCTCATGTTGACTGCAGCTCTCTGCTTGCAGACAGCCTTTCGTTGTGTACTGAAGAACAATGTTCAACGCCACGCGCCGCAAGCACTGCTGTTGCTACTGCTGATGATGATGCCGACGACCGGACACCACCACACACGGTGATTGGAACTGAATCCGATCAGCGGTTGAGGGCAGCCTTGATAGTTTAGTTAGCTGCTTGCGGGGAGCCTTTCGTTGTGTACTGCTGAACATCACCACTCACCACGCGGTGATTGATTAAACACCGTTTGGTGAGACCGGATGGAATTCAACTTTGAAATCTGTGTTAGGGAAATCGCTTTTCGCAGGCAATCGTTGATAATTTTAATTATCATAGCAACAGTTGCACATTCGTTCAGTTTTCTATAGTGTCATTATGAAGAATGATAAAGTGTTAAATTTAACAGACGCTTAGAAATATTTCTGATCGAATGGTGATAAAATGAATGAAATTGGCCCAGGGGCAGATTAGTTATTAACGTTCAAAATCTTTCATAATTTTGTTACATGTTCCATTTTCTGTTTTCACAAAGTGTACTCCCTTATAGAAATCACAGACGTAGTCCTTCGTCAAAAAAAAAAAACCGCAGAACTACCGAGAAATTTGCATATGTTCAGGAAAGCTTGTTGATCTTTAAAGATATTGTACCAGAGAACAGAAAAAAAATTAAGGGACGTCCGAAAGTCTAAAGAGAAATATGCAGAATTGAGTCCTTAACAGACATTTTCCGAACTCAAAGAATCATGTAGATTTATTGAGAACTTTTCCCACTTTTTGAAAGTAGGTATCGTCTTCATAGCGCAGTTCTTGAAGGACAAGATGAGCCAGGTCCCTGCCGGTTTTCCTCCTGAGCAACCATTTCCTACTCCACAAAGTTCACCTTCTTCTTCTCATTTTATTTAAAATAATAAAAGCAAATACGCCTGCCGAAGCTAGAGCAATTTTCCGTTAATTCACTGTGTGATTTTTTTATTTTTCATTCCTGATACAGTTTTGTTTTGAAATTTAAATTGACAGTTCTTTCGACATCTGCAAGCAGTGTAAACACTAGCCAACAGAGGGGGTTCAACAAAGTGTGTTGAAAGTAAAATCGAGCAGATTTTTCAGTACGATGGCGGTCCAAATCAGACCAAGAAATCAGATAGTCTAAACGGACCTTTAAGGGCCATCCACATTAGACCCGTTTGCGTTGCGTTTACGTAAATTTGACAGTTAGACAATATATTTAGCTGTCCCTTTGCCTGTTGCGTCAGATCCGGATGTAATGTGGATGGCCCTTTAAAAAAAATCTTAGAAGCGGTTAGAAATCTTGTGAACCGGTTAGCACGGTTAGCGACGGATATCTGATAAAAAAGGCTCGACTTTGATAAGGTTTTTCAAAAAATGACTGCGGCTGAAAGTCTCTTAAATAAAGAAAACCAACCAACCAAAAACATGCCTGTTTTTTTTTAAAGTATGCTGCTGCTTTTTTGTGCGAATCCGGTTCTGAAATTCCCCTTAAACTCTCCTTGGGAAGATCCTTGAACTTTCCTTTGGAAGTTCCTAGACATTCCATTCGAAAAATCCTGGAATTTCTTTTCGGAAGTGTTACGAATTCGAAGTTCTTTGAATTACCCTTTGAAAGATTCTTGATCGTTTTTTTGGAAATGCCCTACGATAGTCCTGTGAACATGCCTGCAGAAGTTCCATGAACTTTCCTGCAGAAGTTCCGTGAACTTTCTTGCGGAAGTTCCGTGAACTTTCATGCGAAAGTTCCGTGAACTTTTCTGTGGAAGTTCCTTGAAATTTCTTGCGGAAGTCCCGTGAACTTTCCTGCAGAAGTTCCGTGAACTTACCTGCGGAAGTTCCGTGAACTTTTCTGCGGAAGTTCTTTGAACTTTCTTGTGGAAGTTCCGTGAACTTTCCTGTGGAAGTTCCGTGAACTTTCCTGTGGAAGTTCCTTGAACTTTCTTGCGGAAGTCCCATGAACTTTCTTGCGGAAGTTCCGTGAACTTTCCTGCGGAAGTTCCGTAACTTCTTCTCGTCGATAGTTCCGTGAACTTCTTCTCTTCGGGAGTTCCGTGAACTTCTTCTCTTCGGAAGTTCCTTGAACTTTCCTTCAGGAGTTCCGTAAACTTTCCTTTGGATGTTCCTTGAACTTATCTTGGAAAGTTCCTAGAACTTCCCTTCAGAAGATCCTGGAACTTATACTCGAAAGTTTCAAGAACTTCCCTCCGGAAGATTACACTTCGAAAGATTCTTGACGTCCTTGTGGAATATCTTTTAGGAAATGCCCTTCGAAAGTTCCATAAAATTCCTGTCAAAAGTCCCTTCAACTTCCCTTCGGAAGTTCCTTGATTTTCCTTTTGGAAGATTTTAGAATTGCCTTTCAAATGTTTTAAAAATTTCCATTCGCAAGCTCAAATCAAACATTGTTTCTCAGAATGCCGAGTACAAATATTCTTATTCAAGGAATTCAGCATTATTGTATGATATTATTTGTAGCTACTTGAAGTCTGCTAACTTTCTATCATTTTCTCTTTCACGTTTTTCAGATCGCTCACCCTTCAGCTCTCGGATTGGAAGTGGGTACCGAAATCCAGGTGAAGTATTTTGGCCGCGATCCGGTATCCGGATTCATGCGCCTCTCGAGGAAAGTCCTTCAAGGTCCAGCCACCGGTATGCTCCGAAACCTAGATCGAAATTCTTCAACTAGCAGTAGTAGTAGTAGTAGTAGTAGTAACATTTCCAATGGCAATGGTGCCGATGTGAAATCCTAGCTTTATTAGATAAAGTGCTTCTACCAAGGTGTGTTCATCTAGGTTTGTACCGTGTACTGGCAAATGTAAACAGCAGTGTAAATAGTTCCACGCAATTAAAGTTAAGTAGAATTCCAAGGTAAGTTGATACGGTGTTGAAAGAAATTGTCCCTTGTTTAGTAGCTCTCTGGAACGATGAAGGCAACTCCTGCTGCCACCAGTTGAGACTTGCTGAGACCCGAACTAATCTCGATCGCAATCTGACAGATCAGGACATCCCGGGAAATGTTATTGTACAGAGGGATCTCAAACTGATCCGCCCGTGAACTACTGCCAGATCTAGATCGACCATCTACCGCCTGGTCCAAAGCGGTGTAGTCCAAACTGAAGTTACCGGTGTAGCTCGATCCAGCCGACTGTTGCGCTCCTTGCTGAATTGCAAGTTTTCCCCCGTTCAGATAGCCTCCATCAATCTAGGGGAAACAAAACGTATCGAATTAATCTATCAGTCGAATCAGTTTGCAAAATGCCTCACCAGCAAAGGAGCGATCGTGATTGCCTTCTCCCGCCGATGATCGTTGAAATACGCGGAAAGCTTCAGGTCCGTGGTAGACACGTTTAACTCTTCCGATTTGATCATTTTCATCGTCGTCAGGAGGGCTTCCACGTTGAACAGGTTGTTGAAGTTGATCTCCTGGATCCGAGTCTCCTCCACGATCCGGTTGAACAACAGTTCCGTTTCCCTGGTTTTGAACCCAATCGCTTTGATATACTCGATCACGGTCTTGGGACCGCTCCAGATCCGACGCCACTGCAGAGGGACCTGATTGTCGCAGATGGTCGTGAGCATGGTGCGGTCCTTGGCGGAGATGGTCGCCAGTTCCTTCAACGAGTTCTTGATCACCTGCAGACTGCCGTTGATTGAGTCGTACAGATTACGAACGATCGCTAGCTCCGAGAGGACGAAGATCATCCACGGATCTTGTTTGCCCTTGTTGCGTTCGATGATCGTGTCTAACCGGTTTGCGATCGTACCACTCTGGAAAGAGGTTGATAAGTCAGATTGGGTCGTAGCTAGAGTTATCGAAGAAATTACCATTAGCTTGCTCCACAGGCCTATGATGGGTTTAACGCGTTTCTCGTAGTTCTGGGTGCTCCCGCCGCTGAAGTATCTTTGTCTAAGCTCTTTCAACGTATTCCTACAGAAAATGACGTCTCTCGAGGCATTCGTTGACGCCGGAATGCCGTATAGGTTGGGAGTATCCGTGTCCGGTAGTTGTTCCACAATCTTGATGTAGTCCTGAAAAGATGTGAGGACTAGTTATACACTGAACACCTTACAAACAACCGTCACTTACATCCAAATGATTCGAATTCGGGAAGCTGACGTTCATGAACATCGGCTGCCAACGGCTGGTCATGATCTTCTCATCGAAAAACTCCCGCAGTAGGTATTCCAGCTTCCCGAAGTCATTGTCGTTGTCGATGCGCCCTCCGTAGCCAACCTTCTCGCAAAGGCCCTGTATCAGCGGCCATTGGATCTTCAGCGTGTTGGATCCTTCGGTATACTTGATCAGCTGCATAGCTGTCCGCAGGTCGGAATCGGAAAAGTCGTACCACTTGCTCCAACCTATTTAATGCAATAAGAACCTGAGTGTCAATAAATGATCCTAACTGTCAATGGATAGACCTAGCTCACCTTGCGGAACGTACGATCGCCGTTCCTGGACAATCGAATGCAACATGAACAAACCCACGTACATCTTGATCGATTTGTAGTCTCGTTTTTTGCTCACCGTACCACTGTGCTGATCCAAAAGTAGCTTCATCTTGTACTTCAGCCCCGTCGGTGGCTCGTACAGAACCTTGTTACACTTTTTGATAAACACCTCGTACAAGTTTTTGTCGGTTTCCGAAGTCAGCCACAGTTTGAACCCTTCCGCCCAGTTTATCGACTTCAATGCTTCATCTAGATGACGAAGCCACTGCGGCACTGTGTGGATGTTCTTCACACAAACCCAGCCTCCGGCCGTGGCAGCTTCCTTAATCAGCTTCATCGCATCCCCTTCGTGACCCTTGCTGATCGTGAACTCAGCATACTTGGACAGCCCGATTGTCTGTTTGGCATACTCTCGTACCTCCTCCGATGGATCAATACCGGACGAGGCGATCAGTAGAAGTGGTTCGTCTGCCAAACTTTCCTCCGACAGCACTTTAATCGACGGTCGAGTCGTGTAGAGGGTTTTGAGGCCGAGGATGTTCTGAACTGAGTGAGTTATTGTCCGGATCAGCAGGTCCGGTCGGAGAATTTGTGCTACCAGAATGGCTTGAAAATCGCTGACCCCAGTTGGGACGGTGCCGTCGTCAGAATCGATGTACTTCTGCCAAGGGCCTACGTTGTCCAAATTCAGTTTGGAGTACAATTCCGAATGCTGTTGCTTCATGGCCAGCACCTTCGGTACGCTCTCCTGTTTGATCCACGATGGAACCTGGTTGTCCGTGATATGTTCTGCATTTGTAAAGTTAAATACAAACGATTCCCATTCCTTCTCCGGAAGCAGCTGCGGGAACGCCTGTTTGCAGATGTTCAACCCAAGAATCATCTGTTCATCCTTGGGAATGCTACGACTAAGCAGTGAAAATATCCTCCTAACTAGGAAACTATAGAGTTCATCGACGCTCGAATGCTTTTCGTTGTCGATGACACTCAGAAAGATGTTGATAAATTTGGATACGTTAATGCCGTAGAATCGCCGTATGCCCATGTAAAACTGAGAGGCCATACCGCAGAACTCTCGCCTCCGGTTGTAGTGTTCCATTAGCTGATCGCGGATACCGGCGAATTCGGTCAAAGACTGCTCGATCGAACTCGCACTGGCCTTGATACCATTCAGAGTATTCAGTAGCGGTTCATTCTTCAGGATGTCGCCTTGGGAAGAGGACAGTTCTTGAAGAAGACTATCCTGAAGGCCACGCTTCTCTTTTGTCAATCGACCTTCCTCCTCCAGGAGTGCAACACGTTTCTTCTCAATCTCTGGGTCTTTGGCCAAGACCCATTTGAAGGTGAGAACGTCCTTCAGACCAGCAATCGTGGTAGTGAACATAAGGTTCATGAAGTAGGCTTGCAGCTCCGGACCGAGCTCGAGCCGCTCATTCTGAGTTACCAGGATCAGCTTGAAGTCGTCGTGAAGATCGATCAGTTTGTTGCCAATCTGGACCATTCGTTTGTTGAATCGGCTATGGATACGGGTGAAGAACAGTGAGAGAAGAGGTGGTTCGATAGCGTTGACGTTACGGACTATGAGGATCTTTCCGAAGCGAATTGCCAACTCAAGGATGTAGCTAAATCGATCAGCGGACTGGCTCGTCAACTCGAATGTTCGGTTGAGTTGATTCAGGTAGTTTGTCAACCACTTTTGACCAAGCTCAGTGGGATCCACCAACAAAGGAATCGGTGTCGTATCGAACGGTAGCAATAGAAATCTGTTAAGTACGATGGCATTTTCACGGTACTGTTGATCGGCAGTTAATCCCATGCTCTCCCAAATGATCTTGTCCTGGTTGGTTACCAGATCGTCTAGATCAAACGGCTCCTCTCTGGTGAGCTTCGATATTCTGTCCCAAACGTTCTTTCTCTCATTCAGGGATAGATCAGAGAGGTGAGTAATACAAAAGGCCGTCAGAAAGCTTCGTTTGTCCATATGAGTTATCGTCTGATTCAGTTCCTCCAATTCCTTGCTCCAGCTTACGTATTCTGAGCTCAAACTTTGCACCAGCACTTCAGCTGAATGTAGAGTATGCTTCGCATCCTCTAGTTTGATCTCCAGCATGGCCGCTTCCTGCGTGTAGACGTTCAACTGCTCGGACAACTCCTTCACCTTATCATTCACGTTGTCCAACCCACTGGACAGTGACTTCATTTCCCTTTCGGCCTTCTCCAGGTTCTCCCTCAGCTCATTTTGCTCCCGCTCCAGTGGTTTAATGCTCTGAATTACTTTGGAGTATTTCACGTTGGCCATGACCCATGCCGCAAGGGGTGCAGCCGCTGCCGAAGCCCGCTTGGCATTCTTCTGCTCGTATGACTCCGCCTTCACCTGCAGTAGCTTCTCGACCGCTTGGCAGTTCTCAGGGCTGATCCTCACAGGATCCAGTGAACGAATATCCTCCTTCACTCCGCGCTTCGCCAGAAAAGTCTTCATACTGTTCCACGAAGTGTCTCGAATCCCCATCAACCGCAGGACACCTTCCAGAATATCCCGAACTGTTTCCGGAGGAGCTCGCAACGATCGGATCTCCGACAGGGCTTCCGTCTTGATCTGTCCCACTGCAGCGCTGGCTTCCTTCAGTATCGGTTCAACTTGACTGAGCTCCTCTTCGATTACCTTTTTCCGCTCTATCAGTTTGACGCTACTTTCTTGTGTCTTCCGTTGCAACTCTAGAAGTTCCGTTTTCTGATCGTTTGCACCACGCATCGTCGTTGAGATCATCTCCAGCGATTGGTTAGCTAGTTTGCGCTTTTCTGTCAGAGCACTCTGTTTCTCCTGTGCTTCGAGTTTGAGCTTCTCGACGACTTTATGAGTTTCCGAAAGTTTATCTACACCGATTTGGATTTTGGATTTGTAGCGTTCTTTTTCGGATTTTTCACTCTCGTAAATATGTCGGTAGGATCGAATCAACTGGATTCGACGTTTGGGGGATCGTGACCATTGGCAGATGTCATTGTCGAGCAGGTCGTTGAAAAATACGGGCAGTGGAAATTGTTGGGACTCGGATCCTGAGCCGGTTTTGCTTGTGTCGCCTAAGTATCGAGCCAGACTGTCCACGGGAGTTATCTTATCGTCGAGAATCCAAATCATTTCCGACTTTTGGTACAATGCGGAATAGGTTTCGAAGAGTTCTCGTAGTTTGGGTGACGAGTACTCCAAGAGGATTACCAAATGAAAATTGTTCTTCAGACGTTGCAGGAAGTAAGCAGAAAGAGATAGCTGGAAAGATTCGAGAGCGGCCTGGGCCTTCAAAGGGTTCGCTAGGTTCTCCAAATCGTCGCCGAAGAAGTCCGACAGGTCGGCACCTTCCAGAATGGCTTCGGACGTCTTCATAACATCTTCCAAAAAGTCGATCACCGTGTGATCGATGTAGAACGCTACGGGTTCGTTCTCTATGGCACAGTTTTGCATGACAATTTTCAAGTCGTTGTTAAAGTCGCTAATCGCGTAGTTCTTGGACGGTTGCGGGAAGGCCACTCTGATGTTCAACATTGACGATGCTACGTAAAGAGCTTCCAGACGACAAGATCCGGTTCTTCCACAAATTACTAGGTTTGCCTGAGGCCTGGACAGTGTGCGAACCATTGAGGAAACTGTGTCCAGGTAAGCTTCCGACATTGGGATATCTATGCAGATGACCTCCGAGTCTGAAAAAAAAGATCATTACAGTTTACTCAAACACTTGACCAACCCGCTACTTACTGCACATCGAAATAACTTGATTGACGGCGTCGCTCAGATACTCCTTGTCAACCAGTTGTAATTCAGCATCCTTTTGACCTTCCTTAGGTACGAATACGCTCCTCTGATCCATATCCAACAACATCCGCAGGTTATCTCGAACGATCTCGTCAAATGTCTGTCGGTCATCGTCCGTCACCAGACGGTCCCGGAAGATCCGGTTGCATTCATACCTCAGCGCTTGACTGAAGTACTCCTCGGGATAGTACAGAACTCCACTGATCCAGCGTTCGATCATTTTGGGCGTGAACCGGTAGTGTACCGTTTCGCCTCGGTTGAAACGTGCCTGGATCTCGAAGTAAACGTTCATGATCGAGCGGGCCAAATCGTTCAGTTTCAGTTTAATCGAACTCTTTCCGAGCTGATTGTAGACCGGAAGGATCATGCTCTTGACGATACTCTCCATGTCCGTATTGTTTGGGTAGCCGATTTGCACCAGGTGGCAAATTGACAGGAATCGAGGTGAGGTCTGGGATTTGGTTAGATTGGATATCGATGCGCAAATTTGAATTCCGGAGACGCTGATCCATTCAAGTGATTCGGAGTAAAACCCGCTTCGGTTGATGAGTTGCAGCAGCAGTTCGACTACTTCACATGTTCCCCATGAATCGACCGAGCAGAGATCGATGTTCTTCAAGTATAGAACAATGCGGGAGAACTTTGGTCGGTACTCTTTACCTTTGACCGTTGTGAGGACGAGGGAGTTCTGCTTCAGAGTACTCAGAATACTGGATGTCGTTAACTGTGCACTACAATTCATGGTCACCAGTTGATATCCATTGAACTCGCTGACGATGGTTTGTAGCAGTAGACTTTTGCCATTACCGCTAGGACCGATCAGCAGCGCCACTTGGCGTTCCTTGGACTCGAGTACATACTTCAGCAGTTCACCGCTCAGTTTCATCAGAGGAGTCTTCACCAAGACGTTAGTGTAGACATTCTCGTTGATATACGACCCAGTGATCTCATCGGTACTGTATAGCTCGATCATGTCTCGGAAACTGTTGTAGTAGTGATACTCGGCGACGGAGCCATCTGTAACCGTTACATCTGCCCATGCAAACACCTGATTCGCGAGCTTGTTTTTACTATCTGCGTTCAATACACCATTGAGTCCGCAGAGTAGATTAACACAGAATTGGTCGGTAGTCTTGATGCTACCAATTGCCACAAGTCCAGCTTCAGCTAGACTTACAGTCGAATACCCCGGGGGACGTTGCTTGTGCTCTTCGACCCAATCGATTGCTCGATAATAGTGTTGCTCCAGGAAAGACTTCAAGATATCGTTTTCAGCTTGCTTAGCCAACCAGGCACTTACGATCAACTGATATGGAAGATCCTCTGCGTTTAGATTGATGATCCCCATCCGGGAGATGGTTGCCGGTGAAGCCGTCGACAAGTCGTGAGTTTCAAAAATGAAGTTTACATTACTTCCGAACTGTATTCTCCATCCAGACGGAAGCGTAAGCAGTCGATTGTCGTCCAGAACCGAATTGAGAGCTTCGATCCATTCCGGATCGATGTCTCCGTCGCAGATGATCCAGGATGTAACGGTTCGTGGTTCAGCATTGACGGCTACGGCTGTGGAAGTCAGTACTCCGTCAGTCCACTGACGGGTGTCGGGATCGAGTTTTCCCAGCAACTGAACACGACTCATCGACTTTGGCGAGATGATGTGCGCCCTAATTGTTCTGCCTTGAGAAAGAAGTGCTTCTTTCAAGATCGAAATGATGGTAGACTTCCCGGACCGAGGAGGCCCAATGACCACCACTCCCATTCGCTTCTGCAGTTGTGCCGCTAGCTCCAGGCACTTCTCCATCTGGCGATTGTTCTGTTGATATCCGAGGACCGAAAAGGCATCCATGATCTTTGATGTCAATTCTTCGTTCTGACTGTCGGCTAATTGTATGTTCGGAAACACATTTGTCAACAGAATGTCAAACCGCTTACAATCCGATAGTGTAAGTCGGGACATTGTGTTGGAACGAATCACGTTTACTGCAAGACCAGCTTCTTGATCGTAGCTCAGGGAGCTTCCGGATACCTTCAGCGCTGACCCGCATGCCGATAGAATCGCTTTCAGCTCTCGCAGTCCCCAATCGTAGTGACGTTGCTTGGAGAGCATCTTCTTCGAAAGCTCAAAGAGTTCTACGATTTGACTACCGATTCGGTCCGCGTTCTTGAACCCCTCGACGAAGAGAGTAACTCGAGCGATCTGTTGTGGCCGTGGAGCTTGCATGGCGATCGGTCGAAATAAGGCTTGCAGATTCAGTGGAAGCTGTTGCCTGCCTCCATATTCCTCCCCAGCAGGGTTGAGAGTTACAAAAACGCAGCAGTGCTGATTCAGCGGGACGGTTTCGTTGTTCAAGTGCACCTCTTGTTGTTTGTCTTTGAGGGCAACCTGAAGCGGCTGGATTAGCATGGATATTGCCGAGAGGGTAGCCTCCTGCAATCGGTTGAACTCATCGAAGCAGCCCCATGCTCCGCATCGGGCAAGACCTGACAGGATCAGGGCCATGGCGGCAGTGTCGATGTTTTCGTCGCAGTTGAATACCAATACCAGTCGACCGAGCATAGCTCCGAGGGATTTGACGCATTCGGTCTTACCGGTTCCAGCGGGTCCGAAGGGATTACCACCCAGTCCCAGTTGCATCGCTTGGGTCAGAATCAGGTAGCAGTTGTGAGCAAGCGATGTGTAGACCAGTTTGTTGTAGTTTCCGAGAAATTCGTACGAATATTCAAACTCTGCGTAGACCATTTTAACGATGACGTTTCCATTGCGATCTTGGTAGAATTTCATCTGTTGCAGCCAGTACCAATCTTGAAGGTTCGTTACGTTGTGGTTGTTCAGGTAGTCTACGGTAGTCGATTGGTAGACGAGATCGATTAACAGTGATCGTAGCTTGATTTGAGTCAATGGATCCGTATTTTGATGAAGCAGCGCTGAAAACCGGTTGATATCGTCCTGGATGACCCGTTTGAGGTCGTTGAGTTGCATTCCGGAAATGGATTTCTCCGCTCGACGAGTGAAATTGATCGAGTTGACCAAGCATATTACCTGCATTGGAAATTCGTGGATGGCACTCTCATCAAAGGCGTCCACTTGGAGACATTTCTTGATCAGGTGCTTCAAGGTAGATTTGATCTCCACAACCAGGGTATTCAACCAGTCCTCGACAATAGGCGTGATCGCAATGGGGTTTGTCAACTGTAGGTCATCACCCTCTTCGCTACAGAATGCTACAATTCCGGAAGCGTCTTCCTCGATGATTAGTTTGTAGATTCCGGGGAACAGCTTACGAATGTGTTTCTGAATGATGGCTTCTTTGGAAGATTGACCCAACATTTCCAGCAGGTCGTCATCTGAGAGAAAATAGAATCTAGAGAAAGCATTTCGTTTGGAAGTAATGTACGAGCTTAGTGCGTTCTGGCAGCGGGATATCTGGTTTTGTAGTGTTTCTATGATCGAAAGAACATTGTTGATCTTGTTGACGGAGACGACCCTCGGATCGTCGGCCACTTCCTTCATGATATATCTGAAGTTCTTGTCGATGCTTTTGAAAACGGCTTCCTCTCTTTTCAGTGTACCGACTCCGAAGATTGGTTCCAGGTAGATCCACTTCTTCTGAATCTGATTCAAATGTGTGATGATGTAGTCCAAATTGTTCAGCTTCTCCTCCCAGATATCAGCCTGATCGGAAAAAGATTCGAAAGATGCAGAATTTTTAGCCGACTGCAGAAGAAACTGATTGTCGCCGATCTTATTCAAGGTTTCCGTGTAGTCTTTGATCAACGAAATGGTTGATCCTTTGGAATCGGTATGCTGAATCAGTTTTAGCAGAGCCGTGGCGCTCCACTGTTCCAGTTCGACTATGGCCTGACGTATAACGTGCTCGGAAGCTGCTTGTCGTACGATGGATTGAATATCGCTGAGTTGTTGCTGGAGATTTTCGGAAACTGCGAGTACATCTCCAAGGCAGAGATCGTGTTGGGATTTTGAATCGATTTTCAGCATTTGACAGATCTTAGCCCAGTGTTTCTCGATAAGAGCGTCCGACTGCAGGGAGTTGAGCTGCGGCAGGACCGATTTGTACCGTTCAACGGTAGATGCAATACGGGAACTAGCTACGCTCGGTGGTTGATCGAGAGGCTTCTCCCACTTTGCTAGGAATTCCGTAAGAATGTGCGGTCTACGGCGGTAGATTGTCCATTCCTCGTTTGCCACGGTATCGTAGTCATTCAGGAAGTTGTTGAAGATCTCCCAGTTCTTACCTTGAGCGGTGATCTCCAATTCAAGCTTGGTGAATATTGCGTCAAAGTCCTCTGGAACTTTAATGTTGAATTTTTCCGTTTGTTTCCTGTGACAAAGAAAATCAATTAGTACTGCAAGTGGAGGCTTAAATGTTCGTAAACTCACTGTAGCGTTTCGCGCTTATCAATTATGCTCTTCCACTGACCTTGGCGTTCGCGAAATAGAGTCATATCTGCGTTTTCATTTGTCTGAAAGTTTGGAAACATTAAATTTACTTAAGTCCCCCCATAGAAAAAAAAACATCACCTCCAAGTCCCGTATCGTAGACTCCCAGCGAATGGAAAACTTCTCCGCTTCATCGTTCAGCTCGTTAATCTGCCGCAGGATGTTCTCCTTGATGATATCCAAACGTCCTTGCAGTAGCGATTGATGGTTCTCAATCAGCGGTTGCAGTTGATTCCACTGCGTCAGAATTCCGTTCAGAGCTGATACTCGTTCCTTGCACCACCCCGCCAGGCAACCATCCTTACCCTGAAGAGACTTCACCAATTCGGTCATCTTTGGCAATTCGTTCACAATCTTCTCGTACTTTGCGCTGGATTCTGAGATTCCCAGCTCGTCCTGTGGTATGTTCTGAAGAACTTGGAACGAGTAGGCTAGATATTCTTGAAGCACGGAGATGTTGTCCAAGATAGAAGTCCTCAAGCTGTTCGCCAGTGCTTCCCAGTAGCGGCGACTGATGGCGTCAATATCCGAGCAGAGTGGTGCGTAGTTTACAATCAAACAATCGATCTCCTTCTCGGACGTCTGGATACGGGCAATCTGCTGACTGAATTTCTTACATGCTCGGAAGTTGTTGTCCCAATTTTGCCACGTTGTACAGTGGACAGTGCACAGTTGTTCCATATCGGCCATTCCGAGAGCTATCCACGGTAACCAGCTGTCGTGGAACTCGATCAATTCTCGAAATACAATCTCCGCCTTTTCGTACAGAACGGAAAAGTGTTGGGCATTTCTCTCGATCATCACCTTGAAGATGTTGGGACTTTGCTCCGAAAGGCCCTTGAAACTCAGCGGTTTCTCGATGAACCGACGTAGTTGTGAGTAGTACTTGGACTTGACTTCTTCCAGCGTCGGGCGAAACTGTATATGCTGCTGTCGGAATACCAGGTCCACGTGGATGTCTGGCAACTTCTGATGGACATCCAACAGACCTGCTATGTATTGATATTCAAGAACCTTGTACAACTGGTGATCCCAGTGCAGTTTGAATGGATTCAGGTTGGTGTAGCCTTGCCGTTCTAGATTGAAGATGATCTCACGAAGGTTTCGCATTTCGTCTTTCCACACGTTGCTCTGCCGTATCAGATCCGTTTCCATCAGCTTAAGCACGGATTTCTTGGCTTGCTCGTGGTAGCCCGTAAGTTGGTTGTTGTCCTTGGACAGCCGCTTGACAGCGTCCTGCAGACTATTGATGTATCGTTCAACGGAGTCCTCGTCGTTCCACGATACGGATTCGCTTTTGACTAGATTCGCAAACTCCATAGCGTTCTTCAGCATGATCGGTCGCTGGCAGGGAATCATCCGATCGCCGATCGTATTGTGGAACGTTGCAATCTGCTGAAGTCGGCGAGCATAGGATATGAATTTCATCGAGTGGCTTATGCTCTTCTGAATTTCTGGATTCAGCTTCAGGCCCAGGTTTTGTAGATGTCGAGCTTCGTCGCAGAATGTGACAATCTTCGGTCCAAATGTGACCTTCATGAGCTGCCGCTCGGTTTTGTCGAAGATCACCACCGGTTGGTTTTCACGGAGGCTGCGAGGATACAGGTTGTTCAAAAAATCAACTTATACCATAACCGAAACTTCACTTACCTCAATTCCCCCTCACGAATGGCACTCATTGAATTCTCTGTCCAACTCTCGAAATTGGCGCGGATCATGGCCTGGATCTCTTCCCGAAAACCGGTAATCTTTTTTAGAACGCCTTCAAAAGCCTCACGATCGCTCAGCACCTTCTCGGCCACTGCTTCCAGTTGACCGATTTGCTGCTCAACCACCCGGTACCACCGCGTTTCGGAAACGATTGGCGAAACGTCGTCTTCGGTGTAGTTGGCAGACGCTAGCAGTTCCCGCAGTTCACGTATGATCATCGGGACGCTTTGGAACAGCTGTTCCCGTTCGGCCGTCAGGGCCTTCATAACGTACGGTCGGTTGAAGATGTCTTTGTAGCGGTTGAACACGTGAATTGCCTGCCGAGGGTTTCCGATGCTTTCGTAGATCTGCTGCTTCAGGATGGCGACGACGTTTTCGTCCACTTTGGCAAGAGATGTCTCCATGCGGGACTTGGCCACTTCCCAGCGTTTGTTGCCAAGCGGTGTCAAGTCGTAGATGTTGATGTCTGTTGGGAACGGGAGGTTTTAGGGTGGGTTGGCTGCCTAAAGGGGGTCTGACGTACCTTTGAAGGGTTCCGCAATATCGCTAATGTGAAGGAAGTATTCATCATTGTCGAAGAAGAGGGCGTACAGCAGGTCCTTGCAGTTCTTGATCTCCAATATCTGCGGAAGATGATGGATTGAGCATTAAGATAATGGAGGTAACATTTTGTGCGGTAACCTCGTTGAATCGCGATCGAAACTTGTCCAGTTGTTTGGAGCTGTACGGTTCCCCAATCCAGGCGTGCAGTTCGTAGTTCGGCCAGAAGAGCCGAGTCAGGCTGTCGAATGTTTGATACCAAGAATCCAGCGTCTCCTTGACATGGTTGATGGCTTCATCCAGGTAGATCGATCCCACGTCCCAGACGTCCAGGTCGGTAAGATGCTCGGTGCAGGTGTTGACCACGTGAGATGCTGCCAAAATAAATAGCGTTTTAGTTTGCAAAGCAATGAGTTATAGTAGCGTAGTTACATATCAAATCGAAGATGCTGCCCATGCGATTTTGCGGGTAGTGATTCGGAAGTCGCCATATTTCATCCAGATGCGATTGACAGACGTCGATGAACTCATCCAGCTGAGTAAGGCTAGATTCTGCGCCTTCCCTGGAAGAAATTCAGAACTGTATTGGTCAAACCCATCAAGTGCTCGGGTGGATCTTACTTCAAATGCTGATTTATCTTATCCAGGATGGTGGAAAAGGATTTGGCAGCTTCTCGATCGGACTTGGTCGGTAGGGTACGAGTTTTCTGTTGCCAAAAGTTGATTTCATCTTGAATGGAGAGGATTCCGGATTCGGTTAAACCAAGTGACAGACCCAGATTGGAGTGTAGATTCTGGAGGATCGTTTTAACTTCGTTCGGGTATTCGGATTTCTTCAGGATGTACGGCGAGAATACCCGCTGTAGGGAGTTGTAGATGGATTTTGCTAAGCCTCCTTCCAGGGTGAGCATACCGATTTTAGGTTGGCTGTTTTGGTTGTGGTAGTCCAGATTGGGGATTTTGTAGAATAGTAGAGCGTAGTGTTCGTCGACGGGTACGGCATTCTGGAACAGGACTTCACCGTCGATGGAGACGGCCGCCAGAATGGTGACATCGTCGTTGTCCAGGAAGTCCTTGATGACCTCCACGTTCTCCGTCGAGGTTGCATTGAAAAATTCAACTATTCACGGAACAAATTCAGCATTTTCAGTGTAAATTTCATGCTACGCTTATGCTATTGGATCTTACCTGCCGTGTCGTGTATGAATTTTTGCCTATTTGCCATTTTTTACACTATTTTAACATGGAAATATCATTTTCTCTAATTAGTTCGTTCAATCTAGTTGGCAGTTGAAAATTTTCTGTTGTGTATGTTTGGTTTCCATGGATACGGTGGCCGGGAATCACTAGGGAAACCACGTGGTCGGTTACCATGCTCGCGGCAGCCGGTTGTTTGTAAACAAACATATGCCGGTGTGCAACAGGTTTTCAAGCAAACGGGGACACCTGTTGGCCCTGGCAACCGCGTGCACGTGGCTAGGATGGTCGGAGTTTGCGCGTCAGGTAGTGAAACACTTGTGGCGTTTTGAATTGTGAATTGTATTTACGAAAATCAACAAGTTAACAATAGACTGTACAACATGAGGGGGCGGCCTGTTCAACAGGTAAATAATTGCTTAAAATAGAAAGCTGCGGCCAGTAGAAGGATTGACATCAGCGATGACGCGTGGATCGTTGGGGAGCCGTCTGTAATTGGAACAAAGTGGTCATTTTAGAATGCATTTCAAGAACAGCTCATACTACTTACTCAAACTTATACAGATGCCTCCCTTCTCGAAGAATCCATGTGAGCAGACGCACTCATTCATGAAACACTCCATCGTCTGCTCGTGAGGTCCACGGTGGAATTGGTAGCACTCCTTGTCATCGTTACAGCTTGCACCGTGTGCTGAAACGCAGTAAGCTCAAGTAAAACAATTCCCACTATTCCCCAAACTCAAATACTCACTGACTTTCCTCTTGCACAGCACATGGACCTTGTGTTCCTCGTTGGTATTGTTGTGAGCGTGCATCGGGAACGGGAAGTACTGTTCATTGCAAACGCACTGACCCTCGCTACACAGGGAACCGATGCCAAGTTGGGCGATGCATTGATTCGAGTCGCTACAGTCCTGTTCATAGTGAACCACCGGAAGGCAGGTAGTGTTCTCGGCATTCGCAACGAATCCTCCTCCACAGATGCACTGTTTCTCATGGCAGATGGAGTTTGCGGTGCGGTTGGCGCAGTCCGAATCCTGCTGGCAGGGAAGCTCACCGGAAGCTGTCAATTTATAGAGGATATATTAATTTCCGGACAGCAATTACAACTAGCGGTTGCTCACCTATGATGGAATGGCACGTGTTCTGGTAGATAACAAAGTGATTGGAACAGGTACAATTGCTGTGAACGTCGTCGCAGTGCGAGAAGTGATCATTAATAATGCACTGCTCATCGATCTCGCAGGCATTACCCAGTGCAATGGACTCTGTTGGCAGAAATGATAAATTACCAACATAACCTCAATGTTCAACCCAAGCCAAACCCCCGCACTTACTACTCATACATTTCTTTCCCTCTCTGCTCGGTATGAAGCCCTCCTTGCAGATGCACATTTGAGTCTTCTCGTTACAGAAAGAGTTCTCCGCAAGGCAAGGGCATTGTCCCCCTATTTGATTGGATGCCTTGACAATCACCGGCTTACAATCGGTTTGATTGCCCCCGTCCATCAACTCGCAGTGGCATATTCCTTCGGAGCACGTGCTCCTAACGGCACTGCTCTTGAACATTTCACAATCTTTATCATCCTCGCAGCTAAGCTCGATCAATTCTGCGATAAAATCAATCATAAATGATCACACGACACACTTGCTGCCATCTACTTACCACTGGCACTAACGGTTCCCAATAGCACTAGAAAGATCAACAGAAGGTTTAGGTGTTTCGGCATTTTCCGGTTTTTTTTCCGCACTCTTGACTCGCGACCAATGTGGAGATGAACAATGTTATGACCTTGAGGGTCTATAGCTATATCGGGCGGTCAGTGCGTGAAGCAGCGGCTAGATGTGATGATGGTGATAGACAAAGAGACTCTTCAGCAGCGATGGCACAAATACTGATTTTTGTACACGAAAAAGTTGGGACTCCAATTGTTTCTATACACCGACTCTCCAATACCTTACGGTATCAAAATGAACGATCAGGTCCCAACTTTTTTCGTATACAAAAATCGATCTTTGTGGCACCGCTGCTCTTCAGAGGTCGTCTGTACATACGATAGTATTTAGTGGCGACTTAACGAGATTTTTTTTCTCCTTTTGCTATAACAATTTTGCTTTCGGGTAACCCCGCTGGGTCGGATCGATTTTGCACAGCACCCACCGTTGGTGGCCTGCGTTGTACAGAGGTGTTAGTGCGTGGATTCATATGAAAGGGGCAATCAACGCAGCCTGTTCTTGTACAATTGCGATGTAATTAGGCGGAAGTATATTTTTGATTATTAACGTTTATCCCCCTTTGGAGTTTAGATTAATGGAATTTTGCATGTATGATGTCATAAGTTCTTGCTGAAAGGTGTTTGAGGTTTTCGGACAATTCTAGATAGAGCTGGAATTAGGGCCTAACAGCTTTTGTAAACAATGACTTCTTTTGATGATTTCTAGAAATTCAAGGCCCGCCTACGAAAACCAACATCCTCATCGGATAGGGAAAGATATTCCCTATCCGATGGTTATGTTGGTCTACGTGGGAGTGCCTTGAATTCCTAGCAATCGTCGATAGAAGTCATTGTTTACAAAAGCTGTTACGCCCTAATTCCTGCTCTATCTAGAATTGTCATCACTTACAATGCACTTTTTGAAAAGAATTATGAACTTTCTAAGTTTCTATTTCGATGTTTTTTTTAGTACTCAGTGAACTTATACCCAACAAACCATTTAAACTTGGTCAAAGGCTGAATAAGCAATTTTACAGCTGATGAAGCATATTTTTGCCTGAAAAGGCTCTTATTCTGCTTCCAATGTTTGTCTGGTAGTATGCTAGGAACGACGCACAGTGGGATGAAATAAAAAAGTGGGACATGGCCATTATCGAGTGTAGCATTTTGATGCCTTCTAGAATGTTTCCTAATTTTTGACGTAAGACTACGTCTATGATTTCTATTTGGGGTTTACACTTTGTGAAAAAAAGAAAATGGAACATGTAACAAAATTATGAAATATTTTGAACGTTAATAACTCAGCTGCCCCTGGGCCAATTTCAATAATTTTATAACCAATCGATCAGAAATATTTCTACGCATCTGTCAAATTTAAGACCTCATCATTTTTAAAAATGTGGCTATTGAAAATTGCATGAATGCGCAACTGTTGCTATGAAAATTAAAAATATCACCGATTGCCTGCGAAAAGCGATTTCCCTAACACAGATTTCAAAGTTGAATTTCATCCAGTCTCACCAAATGGTGCTTATTCAATCACCGATTGCTCAGATGATGGTGTTCTCCAGTACACAACAAAGGCTGTCTGCAAGCAGCGAGGTGTAACCCACATGAGCATCCATAGAAGGAGGGAGAAGCCGCACCGCTATTGATCGGAATCAGTAACTCTTCGTGAGTCGCTGTGGGCCATCTATGTTAAGCGCGTCATACTAAAGAGTATAATCAGAGAGAACCCCGCTCAAATTCCTATTCCTACTCAAAACACAAACTTCTGCTGCAGTTAACAAATAAGATTTATTATATAATACCACGTAGTCCTACGTCACCATTGCGTACAATCCCATAGGGCTGTCCCTTGTAGTTTTTGAGTACTTTATTTGAATAGTAAACATTATTGTAATCCATATCTAGTAGACCTGTTCATTTTAAACGAAATGTTCGGAATGTAACGGGTCAACCGTGATTACTGTTCGTCATGTTAATTTGAACTTCTGTGCAAATTTTCAGCAAAATCGGTGATGATTTAGAGGTGCTTCAAGTTAATTTTATGTTTTTAAGGTAATTTACGGCTTACAATATTTGTATCTCGAGACTGAAACAACGAAAACTGCTGTAACAACTTTCATAGCAAAGTTTAATGTGTTATGTATCAACTTTGTAACCAAAGGTTGACTATTCGAAGTGATTTTATTGAAGTTTGACTTAGTTTCATGCTCAAAGATATCTTAAAAAGTGAAGAATTTTAAAGTATTTGTTCTACGAATTTTCCACCCATATGATATAAAAATGTGTAGTGTACGGCATAATGTTCCTCATATTGTTCTAGAAGTTTCATTCCAACATAGTTTTCGTGTTTATTTCATAGATTGAGAGATAAAAATCAGAAAAGAGGCCGTTTTAGCTAAAATTGACAAGACAACAGAACCAATAAAAGTCAATTAGATTGACAGAACATAGTTGCATTGCTTTTCAATGACGACCGATGATTATTTCATTGATATATGATTTTTTCATAAATATGAATCCTCAGTAGACGTGTTTTTTTTATCAAAGGCAGCCGTGTTTTTTTTATCAAGTCAGCCACACTCGAGCCATTCAAAATTTTCGTTATTTTATAAATTGCTGTTATGGTTCGAGTGACACTTGCCTTTGATAAAAAACACGTCTACTGAGGATTCATATTTATGAAAAAATCATATATCAATGAAACAGTCATCGGTCGTCATTGAAAAGCAATGCAACTATGTTCTGTCAATCTAATTGACTTTTATTGGTTCTGTTGTCTTGTGAATTTTAGCTAAAACGGCCTCTTTTCTGATTTTTATCTCTCAATCTATGAAATAAACACGAAAACTATGTTGGAATGACACTTCTAGAACAATATGAGGAACATTATGCCGTACACTACACATTTTTATATCATATGGGTGGAAAATTCGTAGAACAAATACTTTAAAATTCTTCACTTTTTAAGATATCTTCGAGCATGAAACTAAGTCAAACTTCAATAAAATCACTTCGAATAGTCAACCTTTGGTTACAAAGTTGATACATAACACATTAAACTTTGCTATGAAAGTTGTTACAGCAGTTTTCGTTGTTTCAGTCTCGAGATACAAATATTGTAAGCCGTAAATTACCTTAAAAACATAAAATTAACTTGAAGCACCTCTAAATCATCACCGATTTTGCTGAAAATTTGCACAGAAGTTCAAATTAACATGACGAACAGTAATCACGGTTGACCCGTTACATTCCGAACATTTCGTTTAAAATGAACAGGTCTAATATCTACTTAAATATAAACTGCACCTTGACCTGACATTTCATTCAATTGAATATTAAGAAATTTTTTGTCTTATAACATATTCTGATGACGTGAAAATGGAGTACAAACGGTTAGTACTCACTTAAAAGGCGTTTTTTTACCATAATTGTTTTGTTTGAATTTTTACATTTTTCCAATGTTATACAAAGTTTTAGGTGCTTTAAACATGCACGTTTTTGCAGAAGGAAAATCGAGATCTCTTCGTTTTAAGGTATCTCGTCCTTTTTATATTTTTTAGCACTATCTCTATGGGGATGTAATCCGCATTCCAGTCTCTTGCTGCTTCGAATCCGTTTCAAAGCATTCGAACTGTCAGAAATACCGGGTTGCCAAGCATATCCAAATATTCACTATTCACTAAAAATACAGTCGGCACAACGACCGGCACTGCCGGCACTGCTGCGGAACACTTGGGGCACACTGAGAAAAAATGCCTCCTATTAAGTGTATCGAGTGACTTATCCCTTGGTTTCAACTCATATAAATTTTGGACCACTATTACGAAACTAACTTTAGTTCACAAACATCCCAAGAAAGGTAATGCAATAAGCTACCCGAAAATGAGAATGATATAAAAGAACATAAATAATGAGAGAGAGAGAAGGATTAGTATTTTCCATTTAATTCCACTACTTTATTTGCTTATCCTTGACAGATACGCGTATTTCGTCTACAATGTGCAGACTTCTTCAGTGTCTTGTACTAATACTCGACTGAAGAAAAACATCGCATTTGCCGAATATATATTGACACAGGTACATTTTCACTTAGAAATTAGGTAAACTTAAATTTAATTTTCTATAGGAACAGAGGCAGGCACGGAAAATCATTTACAATCATTTCATACATTCATTTACATTCATTTGCCTCTAACTTTTTTCATCAACAGCATTCCGCAAAATGATGTATATAGCTTTTGTAGGTTTTGTTATTAGCTACAACTTTTGGTCAAAATTCAAATCTGTATCTCTTATGCATCACGAACTAGAGCGGGCAGAACTTGTTACTGTTTTTCAGTGAATGTAAAATACATTCACTGAAAAACAGTAGTGGCTCCTGTTCGCTCTGATTTGTCATGCATCAGAGATACGGATTTGACTTGTTAACAAAAGTTGTAGGTAATAACAAAACCTACAAAAATTCTATACATCATTTTACGGAATGCTGTTGATGAAAAAAGTTAGAGGCAAATGAATGTATGAAATGAATGCAAATGATTTTCCATGCCTGTGAACAGGTACTCTGCTGCTTACTCGTTGATGTGTCCTAGGTAGTAACTTGAAAAGCCATGTGTGTCCGTTTCCTTGATCCCTGTTGATCCGTAATTCAACGTTGTTTGTTGATCTCGAGGCTTTCTGCAACATCCAATTTCCATGGTGTAGATACGGTTCGTAAAATCGTGATGTCCTCCGTCGATAGTTGGTGGTCCTCTGTGAAGATGAGCTCTGCAACCTTTGATTTGAAATCATATGTTAGGCCTTTTTCCTCTTGCTTTTTGGCCTTATTAACCTCCGCTATATGTTCTTTAAATCTAGTTGCTAAAGTTTTCTTGGTTTGTCCTACATATACTTTGTTACAATGATTACAGCTTATTTTATATACACCTGCTTTACCTAAAACATTAACTGGGTCTTTAGTGGATCCTAACAATGATTTCAACTGGTTATGTCTACTGGTGAAAACTAAATCTAATCCGAATTGTTTTAACTGTGGTCTTAGCTTACAAGTAATATCTTGATCAAATGGAATGGACACTCGTTCCAATGGTTCAGGTGCTCCGGTGAGGTTTGTAAATAATCTCCTTTGTAGAATTCTCGCTTTTTATCGATGATTGCCTGGATTGTGGTCTCCTTGTATCCGTTGAGTCTTGCTGTT